GGCACATGCAAAGAAAACAAGGGAATAATCTGCACAGTGGGTTCAGTAGACTGCAGAAGGGGGGGAAAAGCAAACAGGTAAACATGAGCTCTGCTTAAAGCTTTTCCAAGAAGTGTTTCTGAAGTATGCCTGGAGCTCACATAACAGGATTGTTTCAGCCAGAGATGTATTTCTTGCAAAAACAAAAAAAGAGAAGCAAGCTCAGGAGTCAGTGTGGGGACATGTCCATCCCACATACACCTAATCATGAGCCACCTCCCAGGCAGGCTCCAATTGCACACTTCCTTCCTCTTCTGAGAAGAACGCAAGTGCTTCTTGCACTTGCAAGAAAACTAAAATAAAGTATTTCTGAGGCAGTGGGTGGGAAATGTCCATGAAACAGCCTTGGCACCCTACATCTGCAAGACTGAGTAAAACACCGGAGGGTCACTGGAGCGGGGCCGTGTTGCTTCTGTACTGAACCTCTGCCCCTATGCCAGGAGGGAGACAGATCTGGATACTTTTTCTGTCAACAGGCACTCACAGAGATCAATTTGACCCATACTGAAAGAGGTATCTAAGATATCAGTAACATCAGTTTCTAGACATGAACAATCCATCTTCTTTAGCTCTGGAAAAACCGAAGCAGCTTGCTAAGAGTATGCACCAACATGCACACAGCAGAGGTGCTGCCAAACACCCTGCAGTTTTAAAAGATGTGTAGATGTGGTTCTTAAGGCCATGGTCTAGTGCTGGACTTGGACTTGCAGTGTTAACAGTTGGACTCAAGATTTAAAGGCCTTTTCCAACATAAACAATTCTATGATTCTATGATGTAGGTGATAAATATCCTGGAAATGCCCATGATATAAGCCAGTTGCTTCCCAAGACCTAGTCTTGCTTAAGTAAGTCAAGGTAAGTTTCGCAACTGATGTCAGTGAGGTCATTTGACACTAGGAACTTGTTCAGATAATGTTCTGCACTGAGGAAACTCTTCAATAATTACAGATGCAACTATTAAGTTTTTCTCTGAGCACAGTCCTCATGCTCTTAAGCTTTACAATTGCTCCATTATTCACAGATTTAAAGGATAACTGTCAAGGGTTAAGTACAAGTTATAAACAGCAGTAATTAAATAAATTTTGTTGCTATGATTTTGAAACAAAATTAAGAAGAAGGGTTTCAGAACTGGAAGAGTTACAATCAATGTCGAGACACTGACATAGCAAAAGCTGTGTGTTTTATTTCTGTCAGGTCACAGTTTCATGCGGCAGATTTTGTAAGAGTTCAAGAAAACCATGTCTTTCAGTGCTCCTTCTACCCCTCTTTCCAGTGTTCTAGTTCAGAGGAAACCTGATTTTTCATGCTAGCAAAATGCAAAAATTGCCTTTAAACAATGGCATCGTTTTAAGACTTTCAGAGCGTCAAACTTCATTGTACCAACAACATTCACAGGCATGAAGAAAATAAGATTTTTGTAAAACCTTGATGCTGCATTTAGTCACAAAGCAAGGAAATCCCCGTAAGGAACAGAAAATCCATTCTATATTTAGTATCAGCCTAATAGGATAATGTCGCTATGGTTAACTATTATTCAAATTGATAGAGTTTTGCATTGTTTCACTGCAAAGGCCAAGCTTCTTTAAGAAGTCTGATCTTGCTACTTTTGCAAATAAACTGTCTTAAGGTCAAGGGGAAAAACTTCCAGTTTCTTCTTTTGGTAGTTCATTATCTCATGCAAGTATAATGCTGTTCTGAGGAGGCCAACACAAAATCATCTGCTTTCTGTATTTTAAAGAAAAGGTGCCCATACCATTCTACAAAACAAAGATAGGTTACAGCCATCTATCACAGCCTCAGTATTTCCCAGCGTGTGTCTTTTTCTTCATAATAGAATTCATGTTTACAGTCCTACAGAAGTCTTAGAATCACAGAGTTGTTGAGGTTGGAAAAGACCTCTAAGGCCTTGGAGTCCAACCACTAACCCAGCACTGCCATGTTCACTGCTAAACTGTATCCCAAAGTGCCACATCTACATGCCTTTTAAATATCTCCAGGGATGGTGATTACATGACTTCCCTGGGCAGCCTGTTCCAATTCCAACTCAAAATAGTGCTCTCTGACTTGCTGTAGTATCTTATGTCCAAGTTCCATTTGAGGAGAAAACCAAGAGCTTCGTAAGACAGCAAAATGCAGCAATGCTCTAACCAGATGTAGAATATAAAAGAAACACATGCTAAAAGTTTCAGAATAGCCTAGCTGCGGCCCTGGTTTAAACTGATCTCCAGTCTTCCTCCTGCAAATAATACAGGAGATGTTAAATGAAATGCAAAACATTTTGGTGCCAAATTTTCAAGAAGTGTCCACCTCCAACTTCTTTTTTTTAAACATGCTAGAATACTGCCATCTGTGAATGTGAAGCTGTGAAAGTAGGAATCTGAAATCTGTCAGCTGTTCATCAACATGTTCGTAAGAAAAAACATACAAGTGACAGAAGGCTGGGTTTTGGGGAGGGGGTTGCTCAGACACCTCTGCAATTTCAACGTGTCCCAGGGATATTCAGTAAAGTAGGAGGAAAATGTTCACAATGGCACATCATCTAGGTACCCAACACCCAACGCTAACAGCTCAGTGTTTGCTCCTGAGCCAACTCCCAACTTCAAACCCCACAATTTTTAAAATAACTTGTGTGCTTGGAAATCAAATAAATAACAAGTCTTTCCAAGGGGAAAATAATGTATTATAAAAATATTAATATTTCTGATAACTTTAACTTTATAGAAACCCTTCTCTTTTTTTTGCAATTTTTTCTCAATTAGTATTCAAAGGCTCTATTATGCAATTGTTCAAGCCACTGCTTGTAATACAACATATTAATATATTAATTTTCTCTTTTTAGTGGCAGTTTTCCATTCCAATTTCCTTTATCTGACTTCGTCATGATTTTTTCTGATGATAAAATGCTCTCCTCTTTCAATTAGTTAATTTATTCATGACTTCTAAAATTCATATTTCACATTAAATATGCTGGCAAATTTGCTCATGTCAGATTGCTCCCTTCCTATAGCTTTCAGTAACCCATCTGAACAAAGGTTTCCTTAAATTTCCTTCTCTTTTAACAGCTTTATTTTAATCCAGATCTTTTGTAAGAGAACTTTTAGTAACAATAATTGTTTCACACATGAAAAAGCCCCCTGACACAGAGGATTATATTAATTATCATTAGCTGCATGCTTCTTAGCAGTTCTGGAACCAGTTTACAGTACACACCTATAATACTCATAATGCAGTGTCTCAAAATTCACTGGAACAGCAATGTTTACTTAGTGCTGAATGAGGCCTCATAGGAACAATAACTGCATTCAAAGTCCAAAGGTCCCATAATCTGCTCATCTCCACATTACCTCACAGATTTTGATCTCTGCACAAACCCTGCTGTTGCACTAGTTTATCTTTCAAAAGGATGCCAATTTTTAACATCTTGATTTTACAATTTTAAAAGATGAATGAGCAACACCCCTTGGTAAATTGTCTTAACGGATGTATTACTTATAAATTCACTGCCTATTTTCTAGTTTTGACTTCTAACCTTAAGTCTTACTTATACAAGGATTAAATAAGTTTTTGGACTCCTAAATCAAGCACAGAAATGCCCACAACCACTCCTTGGTAGGTATCTAATACCCAGAATACCCACACAGCATCATCCTGCTTGAACCAAAAGTCCTTTCTCCAGGTGCAATTTTGCTTCTGCAGAGCCAAAGGCCTCTTGGAGTTTGGACAGAGATGCTCTGTGTATGCACATCTCATTGTGAGGGCCACCTTTACAAAAGATCATTGCATCTACTTTTCTTTAAAGGAGGGCCAAAAGAGGAAGTGAATGAGAATGTGTAGCACATCCTTCACATTGTATTTGAGACATATGAACTGCATTACCCTGAAGAGTGAGGTTTAGGTTCAAAGCCTTCCTCAGCCTGAGAAATTTAAACCTTGGTGGAGCACCTCTCATGAAAATGCACTTTCACCCCTTCTTGGGCCCAGAAGCAGAGGAGGAAGAGGAGGGGGCTAGTCTTTGAGGGTTGGTAGTTAAGACAACTCATCCTCTTAGAACAGTCAGAGTTGGGTTGTAGTTCCAAGACATATGAATAAGTTACCAGACTCGCCATTGGCTTGTCCTCCAAGTGTGTTTTAAAAGAAAGCATTTAAATGTGGGCTTGGTTCTCTAGGGGAAAAATAAAGAGCTGCAACCAGGATATTTGGGGCTGAAAAGTCCTGCGTTGGTGGAGGTCCATCCAGGCTCCTTATCATTCAGAGACAGTAGATGTCAGACACCATCTGGCCATCAGTGTTTTCTACAGTCTTGGCAAACACAATGCACCACCTCGTATGGGGCTCATCACCATCCCTGTGTAGCACTGAGGAAAACCAGACACCTCTCTCTGGATGTCTTGGGGAGACATCACACCTGTGTGACTGGAGTGGGCTGTGAGCCTTGTCCTGGCTAATCACCACACCTCTTCTTCCTGTGGGTACTGCTCAAAAGGACACAGAACTTTTAACCCTTCGGGCACAGTGAGCTTTCCTGATGTATCACTATAACTCATTTTCCAATACTTGAACACCTCTTCATCCTGTTTTCTGGCATCTTTCTTACATTTCAGCACATTTGCCAAAATACTGCATTACAGCCTCTCTGATCCTATGTACAGTTGTACTAGCTACCTAGCAGTATTAGATTAGAATTTTTAAGCAACCATATTTCACCCCTTTTTTTAGGTTGACTTCACACCAGGGTGCAATAAAACTCCCATTAGACTTAAAACATCTAACCCAATTGCAACTTCCGCACGAGGTGTAGCGTCATTAACATGATAGATTTTAAATTGTTTCAGAAGCCAGCTCATGCTAGTTTTTGAATCCGCTCCTCATGCACCCCAGAAAGCTGGTTTGAGAACTGGGATGGCCAGTAGCAGACAGGGGACCAATAAAGCTAAAGAAAGCGCATGAGCCACTTCAGAAGATATGTTCCAAGCTCCTCCCCAGGTCTTTTGCCTTTTATTCTCCAATTCAGGTATTACATTTCCACTGGTTTCCACCAGGATTGTGCATGCACCTTGACATGTTCACAGAAGTTCCACAATACAGAGTTTCACAACTGGGACAGGTCCCTACAATTGGGACACCAGGGTGACAAAACAGATTCTGGAGAACTTCCCACTGAATAGGATGGAGAGAACATAATTATCACATCGTAACACTGCAATGTCTCATAAACATAGAATAGACCAGATCCATTTACCACAAGAATCACAGAAAGTAACTTATCAAAGAATATATATTTTATGTAAAATATACATTTGTAGGATATAATTTTAATACAACTTTTATACTTATTGATGCTGAGTTTGCAACACTTTGAATTAAAAAAACCCAAAATAGTCTTGCTGCCAGAATTTTATTTCTGATAATACTTATAGTTTGAGGTAACAATGAAAGAAGACTGTGTGCTGTGAACAAAGTCAGTGATGTTTATCTGCAGTCACATTTTTGTTATCAAAGTGAAAAGTAAACTTAAGACTTGGCATGTACACTAGAATTCATAACAATTTAGGTCATGGCAAACTGAGAAAGCAAGGACTTAGGCAAACCTACTCTGTTCAAATTTGTGACCTTTGCAAAATATGCCATTAGTATGACAGAAGTCAAGACAGATGTAGACTACATCACTATCATTATTAAGTGTGTGTCTTTGTATGATCCACAGCACAACTTACTGCAGGAACCAGGAAGAATAAACACAGGGGTGTGGGTCTTTGCATGGAGCCTTAGCAATGATGACATGAATTCAGCTTTCCTTGATATAGATAAAAACTGATATTCCATGCATACACATTTTATATTTACAGCTGACTCATCAACAGTGACTAGTCACCCCTTCCTCTGGCAGCAATAATTATGAGCAGTCTTTAATCTTCTTTAACAAGCTCTACTTCGCACGTAAAGTCTCAGTGACCTCCTCAAGGTGTGAGTTGTTTATCAGGGCCCATTCAGCAGCAGCAGTCTCTTTCCAGTAAAGTCCTTGGTATGGCTAAATTCCACTGTCCCTTTTTCAGCAGTCAAAAATCCATGATAAATTCTGTACAACACTGTAGTTAATATAACAGCAGCACCAAATATTGTATTAATTAATTTGCTAAAAGCTGTTTGCAATTATCTCTCTATTGACAATATTTTACCAAAAGTAAATCAGTGTACATCTCTAAATATCAAAAATGTATACTTTGATAAATACATTATTGTACAAGAATTCTGACATGCAGGTCATGCTATTGGGCTAGGCTATATACAGAAGAACATGTTACATGGTCAACAATATTTCTTTTCCTAACAAAAAATAAAACATGACAATAAGGTATTATTCAACAATTTCAATGATCTCTTAAGACTTCAGTCATTATGGTCTTCCCCATGTAGTTCTAAAACTCTATGGTTTAGGGTAATTTTTCCTCACCAGCCCAGAACCTCAAATATGCCATTGCATTTGTCCTGTTGCATAAACAGAGGTTAATATTGAATGAAAAAGACACTAGAGGAGATACAGTTTCAAAATTGTAATGAATGCTGGTTGCTAGGAGGAAGACTGATGCAATAGGCAACCGGTCAGTGCTGTAAAGCTGCTACTAAATCCCACTTGAAAAATCTTCAGAGTGCACACATGAGTTAGACTAGACGATACTAACTTGCACTTGAAAAATAGATATATTTCTATCTATACACATATGTATCGTCCATATGAAAAAAAAGAAAAGGAGAAAAAATGCTCTTAGTTAAACTTAAAAGAGGGGGCCATTTTAACAGTATCTTTATGCTTTATGAAGACAGATGGAGAATACAGGAGACAGGTTGCAAAACAGACAGACAAACAACAAATAGGACAAAGCTCAAAAAACATTGAAGAAATTTTTGAAGGTCATGAGCCAGAGGTATAAGGCTGGTCAAAAACCTGTCTTGAGAACCACTACCCTCTTACAATGGTACAAAAAAGCCCCCAACAACTGTTTCAATTTTACTTGGTACTCAGCCTCTGAAAATGTTGAAGAACCCTGGAGCAGAGAAATTACTACAGTACCAAGCAGCACTTGCTAGCTTAAAATTGCAAGTCTGGATGGCGTTTACCTTTCTTGCATGTTTTGTGCCTTCCCCAAGCCATTAAGAAAGAGATCTGGCTTCTGCTTGCGTGTAACCAGTAATGACAACCTCTTTGCAGTTATCTGTGTGCAAACAACCGGAGACATTCAGAACTCTGATACAGCAGTCCAGTACCGAAATAAGTTAATCACAAAATAAAGCCATTTATAAACAAGTAGATAGTTAAAAAATAAAGAAAAAGGTTAAACAAAGAAAAACAATCCCACATGCAGACCAGTTTATCAGTGCTTTCATTTCAGCAGAATGGTAACAATGTGAGAACACACATCCAGAGCCCTCTGTGGTCTCCACAATCAGCAACACTGCTTGTCAGGTGATGGAGACAGCATGGTCCATGCAAATGAGCAGACCCTTCAAAGCAGACATCTTCAGAATGGATTAGAGTCACAAGAAATGGAGGTTCAATGGAGTGACTGATAATTAGTTGGAAGCACATTATTTTAAGTAAATCTCCCTGAAAATATGCTTATTTATTGAATATACTTAACAACAGCATCCACTAACTGTCCTTTTATTGCCACAGGAAAGTAGGACAATATAGCAGATAAAAGGAGAAGTGCTACTTAAGTAATCTTTAAAAGTCAAGAGAAAAACCAAAATCTTCAGCTACTCAGGTGGCTTTTCTTACTATTAACAGTTGTATCATGCACGAGTTAGACAGTATTTGTGGAGCCTATGGTTAATGCTACACTTATTTCCGGTATGTGGTAAACAGTATTTGATTTAACACTATGTAGCCGATTGATGCCATCTCGTTTACAAGATGGAAGGGATGGGAGACCGAGAGCGCCTTAGAGGACAAGGTGAGCTGTAGGGTGATGTTACTGGAGACAGTCGCAGAGAATTGCCTGTCAAGCCAGCTATGTTGTTTAAGCTTCGAGATTTTTCATAGCCTTGTATGAGAAAATGCAGAGACATCAGTTGAAGTCAGCCAAAAAACCAGACAAACAATACAGTGTAATGTAATCCAAGGAGCTATTGGGGATTCAGAGGGAATCTGCCTGCAAAAGAACTCAATGCTGACACACATTACTACCAAAAGATACTAATAAATAAAATCATTTACAAACTAATGCTGCTATTTTTCCCCCCAAAAGTTAAACAGACCACCACAAAAAAGGTCTGACCTGCTCTTCCACATCCCTCCTTGCACTCATTATTGCTCTGTGGGCTTGAGCAGGCTTGCGGAGACTGCAAGTTAAGGGATCCCAACAAGGTTACTCTGTGAGCTATCTGGCTAAGCATAATCAAAACCCCATTAAGACAGACTATAGAAACTGTTAGAATTATATAATCTCTGCTAAACTCAATTCCTAATAAAGGACAATTTTTCTTCAAAATAAAGAAACCAGAAACCAGGTAAATTGTATACAGTATGTGTAAATCACTTTTGCAGAGGACTGAATGATAATTGAAAAAGAAGCTCCATCTTCAGAAATATCAATCCTTAGACTTTGTGTCTAATTTTAAAGTCCAATAAGATAGCAGAGTTTGACATATTTTCAAATGCCTCCCGAACGGCAAATTTAAAACATTGTATTTGTGTTTCTTTTCCAGCTGACTCAAATGAAATAAATGGTATTAATCCACATAAGCAAGTAGTAAATAATTAATCATTAAATGAGGTGACCACATAATGCTTCACAATTTGAAGGGAACATTGCATTTGCAGACATTTCTTTTCACATGCACTGTGAGCTCTAGCTACTTACTTTTTGCTACACATTGTTTTCACTTTGTAGAAGCTATGCTGTAAAACAATGAAAAAGCATTGCTATTCACTGCATCACTATCTTCATACTTGAGTATTTTCAATACCACCTGAAAAACCCCACTTACTAAGGAAAGAATCTCAGTCTGAAAAGAGATATTGTAAGGAAATATAACAAAGATTAAGCCAGAAAGGACCTTGCGCCTCAAGTACATGGATACATGCTTCACTGCAAGTATTAGAAGTCTCACTGATTTCAGTGGCACTACTTATTTCCTTGAAGACAAGTATGCATCTAAGCATTTGTCAGGTTAAGATGTTCAGGTACAATTTGCTCACAGTGAAATATTGAGATTTTTCTCACAGAAACTATAAAATACCAATGACAATAAAGCTAAACATCACATGCAATGTCATTAGACTTTTTTTTCCTGATTGAAATTGTTCAAAGTCCAGATCTTTAGATAACAGAGTTACCAGACAGCATCTTCCGGAAAAATCATATCTTAGGTTCTCCCCTAACAACAATTAACATATTTCTTACCTACTGAGAACTGCATGCTGTAAAACTATAATTAAAGCAAATGTATAACCTCACGTCTGCTAAAACACTGTGCAATGTTCTCTCCAGATTGCAAGGGCAGACTAGACTGTGATGCTACACAGACTTCTGATACATTTCAGAAATAGCCTCCAGTTTCTGAGTTTCTATCAGTATTTACACAAATTAGAAAGAATCACAGTTGAAAGGGGAATCAAGGGGAAGCACAATGCTAGTATATATATTTAACGCCCCTGTAAACATAAAGCTTATTAAAAAATAAAAAAAAAATCAGGTAGCTTTTTTACATAGAAACTAGGAAAGGAATTTTTAATATTATTTTCCTGCTACTTTTCTAATGATAAAGGGAAAGAACTGATAGAGGATTATGATAAAGATTATAAAGAAAATAGGTACTCCTAAAAATGAAAACCAGATACACAAGATGAATAGAGACAGAAACATGATCCAAAATCACTACTTTTCAGGTATTTTAGTGGATCAGCTCTGAATCAGCATCATTTTAGAGATGGAGATAAGACGTTAATGAAAAAAAGCTCAGAATAAATTATTATTGAACACAATCAAGAACCAACCAAGGAACAAACCACATGAGAAGGATGTACAGAAAGAAAGAAAGAAAGAGAGAAAAAAGAAAGAAAGAGGGGGAAAAAGAAAGTAGTAGACTTGATGTGTGAATTAAATTCAAGTATTCAAACCCACTATTTGAAGATGTTTTCTGATTACACACAAACTTCCCTACTCTGTATAAAATATACTTCAAAGCCAGTGGCTAAAACATTTCAGCCTTGACTAAGATTATCATCAGAGCCAGACAAAGAGCACATTTCTCATCAAAAAACTGTCCATTCTGAACTCAAGCCCCAGTTTTCTAGTAAAAACTATGACATAATTTTCTTTTAAATCTGGATTTACAAATTTAATGTTCTGGTAAAAAATATGTTTTGTTGTTATATAAATATGTCTCTAGGAGCTGATGGGTAACTTTTTTTATTATTTCTGATCTCTTCTAGTTATGGTTACTGCCATAACTTGCTGACTGAAGTCCAGAACCTGATCTTGCAAGATGCCATGGCAATGTGCCTTATCCAGGTGTTCTTGACCTCCTTAAAGACTGGACTCTTACCATTAGAGATACTTTAAATAATCCTAGTTGTTGAGAAGACAGTGTGAAATATATGCTCAGAGGAAAGCGTAGTAAATCTGTGCAAAAACATGTTTGCAACCAAGTTCCATTTAATCTAAACATTATATATAGGAGTCTGTAAAATGCAGGAGCATAAAGACAGTCATACTCTTTATGAATACCATACACATGCAACGCTGGTTGCATATCTGCCTTCACAGGTTTAACCTAGTGAGCTCATGCTTTTGAAGTGCAAAAAGAGCATTTGCAGAACAACCCAAGAGAATTCCTTTAGGGTATATGGCTAGCTGGGATACCTGTGTTTTCTATACACCAAATAAGTTTAAAAAAAAAAAAGCCAGAAAAATCTGAACCAAAAACGTTTGTCCACTGCCCCATGGCAACTTCACTTGAACTGTGAGGTGAATAACTACACATCAGCACTCAGGAATGTGGAATCTGTTAGAATTATACAATTTCAGAAGAATGTAATTTCCCAAGAAACGAAAGCAATTCTTATCTAAGGAAATGGCACGATGACTACTGGCATTGCTGATTTTAGGGCTACGTCCTGATGTTAGTTTTGCAGCCAGCTGTGGTCTGATGGGCTAGCAACACAGTCATGGGAGAGGTACAAATAAGAAACAGGAGTTTTGCAAACTCTGCCTGGGACCCATCCTACTGAACAGGGAGCAATCAGACTTAAAGAGGCTGAATAAGTAGATAGGTATTTTTAGCACCTTGCAAGGTCAAGCATTGTTTACTGTAGTTGAATTCTGGTTGGGATAGGAAGTCACCTTTTAGTATCAGCGGTGTATTGCAAAGAAGAAACATTTTTTGGCATTGTAAGATCAAACTTTTATTCAAAAGAAATCTAAAGAGCATCTCACAATATGCTTTTTTTAAGTCCAGAACAAAAATCTTGCTTACTTCTGACATTTTAAAGTGTATTCAGCTGCAAATTTTACTAAGTTATTAAGAGCAGACCAAAGTTATTACATGACTAATTTGTCTTTTAGAATGACAAATGATATTGAGTGATGAGTTGTTGAATGAGCCAAGTCTAAATTGCAGGCTTTTCCATTAGAGATAACAGACAAATGAAGACACAAGTGAAATGAGGGTCCAACATCAAGCACATTTTTTGAAGACTAAAGGGGATAAGTGTTTCTAAAAGGAAAGCAGGAAAAGAATGACTAGGAGTAAAGAAAAAAAGATACATTGTGAGTACAGTCTTTCCTCTAAGAGCATTGTGCACATCATTTTACTCTGATTGTTTTTCACAAGCACATTGCTGAGTAACCTTTTATGATCTAATGAAAGAAGTTCATACCTTTCCTGATCCCTCCATCAGTAGCACACGTGTAATCACCTGTTGTCAGTAGGAAACATGTTCCCCCTCTTCTGTTTTTGTCTCTTGTACTAGAACGTCTGATGGGAGGGAGCCTTTCACCAGGTGAGAGTGGCTGCTCACTTCCTGCACTGTCTTCACCTGATAACACTGGTTAAAGCACCATGCCCATTTACAGACAATAATGAATGAGGAAATGAGACATCACAAAGAGCTTATGCTGAATGCCAGATATTCCCATCACTCAAAAAATAGTTATAAAATAAATCATTAAAAGAAAACAATTCTGCAATTAATCATTAATCAGTACAAAATGGCAAAATATTTTTGTTTTATTCAAGAACAATGATTTTTCAACTTTCCTGTTCTTCTTCTAAAACTCATATAAGGTTATATTAAACTAACATGAAATAAGAAATAGTCAAATCAAGGCTCAGTTAGTTGCCCACTATGGACTGTAGCTTCAGAGTACAGTCAGCCTTGGATATTTCAAACATGTATTTACTATTTTGGCTATCCTTTTTGCTAAACAAGAGGTCATGTTAGTAATTTTTGCTTATATTATGATGTTTGGCACGTTTTAAAGATAACCCCTCACCCAGGAGGGCTAAATTTTCAACATTTGGCACTATGGGCTGTTTAATAACACACTTAGCTTTCATTTCTTTATATAAAACACTTGCACTGCTTGTCATTATAAGTACCCAATACTAAATGCTGTCTTTGGTTTCTACTTTATTTTGTCAAACAGCAAACTTTGTACCTTTCCTGATTTGTCACTCCCAAAGAACTCTCTTTTAAAATTATCTACTATTTCAAATTCAGTAAAAACATAACTTGAGTTTTACCTTTGCATTTAAATCTGAGCATGTTTTTTTCTGAACTGGGAATGCAAAGGGTGAAATTCAGCCTTGAAGTTTTGCACAAAACTCCTAGTGATTCTAATAGCATTCTCTACCAGAAATAAAGCTACAGTGCATGACGTGAGTGGTGGCACTACTGAAGAGAAAGTTAAGACTTTAAAATGTCTCCTTTTTCCATATTTGCTTTCTCTCTAATTTCAAGGACCATTGTAAATCAAGGACCCCTTGTAAATAAAGCTGCAGACACAAAGAAGTGTCTCTGTTGTGATCACACTGAGCCTTCTCCATTCAGAACACCTTTAGTAGGACCTGATGGCATGAAAAAGCTGTCATCATCAACACTTTAAAGATTTTGTCTCAAAGTGGGTATGAGTCAAAGTACTGTAAAACTAACTATATTTCACTCTCAGTGTGCGTCCTTTCAAGGGTTTCTGTCCTCTTAAATACATTTAGGGTGTTCAAGAAGCTGTGTTAACTTTGTGAACAGTAACTCAGGGAGTGAAACTGAGCTTCTTTGAACATAAATGCTATTCAGTAACAGAGCAACAGACCAAGCAAGGATATTTTTCAGAGACCGATTTTATAGACTCTTCTTTTTAAAAAATAAATTTCAATTACTGAACGACACCAGTCATAGGTGGTTTTGCTCTTATTATTCTTTAGCAGTGTTCCAACAGGAGTCCAATGACTGGTATGTTAGCTTTATAAACAGACTGTGCTTGGCTTAAGAATAAATACACTTAAGAAACAAAAAAAAATATTCTTCCTGCTAAAAAATTTGTTTTAATTATACTGAGAGGTAAAATTTACTCTTTAATTGCAACAGATATGGAATATGGAGCAGTGGCTTGGAGGGGCTGAGGCTGTCATTTGATATGCATTTTCACTGAGATAAGCACAAAATACTCCTTATTCATCATTTGGAACTCTAACAAATAAGGTAATAGAAATCACAAAAATCAACAGTAATAGCGATGATGTTGCTAAGGGCTGTCATTGTCTTTTTTTTTTTACAAACTTTACGTCATCTATGCTATTATCATTTAATTAGTAGTAAATATCATGCAATGTTAACAGATGAAGGAGGTTCTTTTAGCCAGGGAAGCAGAATGCCAAATGGAAAGAAAACTAGAAAGAAAATTTCTTCCTATTTCCTTTGAGTGCTGGGCTTTGGATGTAAAGCACCTGCTCCTTTTAAATGACTGCTTCTTTGTAGGATCTTGCTTAACAGGCCACGATGTGGCACAGGCAAAGCTGACACAAGAGACAGACACTGAGGCAAAACACCATGGAGTCCAACAGGGTGGGACACGGTGGCTGCTCAAATAGTCACAGTCATGCAGAAAAACAAGAAACATCCATACGACGCAACAAACAACAGGCAAAAGAAAAGGTTGATATCATCAGCAGGAAAGCATTCTCAACAGAGCAAGCAAAACTGTATAGACCAGCTACATAGAGGTTTGGGAACATCACTATACCTACTTTGTCCTCTATGAGACTGACACACGCAAACGTTGGAGGGGAGAAGGGTGGGAGCTACGTCTTCTCCGGGCAGAAAGGCTGGCTGCTTTCTGACTCCTACCAAACATACCGGTCTATAAAGTGTTTTCAGAGGACATGCATTTCCACCGGGGTCCTACCTGATGATCTGTTGTGCTCCATCAGCTGGTTGTCCTTGCCCAGGCAGATGTCACCCTGTGTGCTATTGCAGGCCATGTTCAAGTCTGTCTTGCAGAAGGTGGGTGAGCTGGCTTGAGGAGCAGGAGGGATGTGCTTCTTCCGCTTCCTCGGCAGTTTCTGCTTTGCCATGGCCAGGGAGTAGTACATCCCAAAATTGTTAACTATCACAGGCACAGGCATGGCTATGGTGAGCACCCCTGCCAATGCACACAGGGCTCCCACCAGCATGCCTGACCAAGTCCGTGGATACATATCCCCATATCCCAAGGTGGTCATGGTGACGACGGCCCACCAGAAGCCAATAGGGATATTTTTGAACTGTGTGTGTTCACTTGCTGATGGGTCATTAGGCTGGGCTCCTACCCGCTCTGCGTAGTAGATCATCGTGGCAAATATCAAAACACCAAGTGCCAGGAATATTATCAGCAGCAGAAATTCATTGGTGCTGGCTCGCAGCGTATGGCCCAGCACCCTGAGGCCCACAAAGTGCCGGGTGAGCTTGAAGATCCGCAGGATCCTAACAAACCTTACCACCCTGAGGAAACCAAGCACGTCCTTAGCAGCTTTGGAGGAGAGCCCGCTCAGGCCCACTTCTAGATAAAAGGGCAGGATTGCCACAAAGTCGATGATATTCAAGAGGTTTTTGATGAATTCAAGTTTGTTGGGGGAAAAAACAACACGTACTAAAAATTCAAATGTAAACCATACCACGCAGACTCCTTCCACGTATGTCAGGGCAGGATCTGTCTCAATCTCATACTGTAGCACAGTTTCTGTCCCATTGACGACCTGCTCAGTTTTATTTATAATAGTATTGAAAGCCTCATGTGTTTCCAGGCAGAAGGTTGTGATTGAAACTAGGATGAAGAATAAAGAGGCAAAAGCAATGAACTGAAACAAAAAGAGATAAAAGAGACATCAGAACCACACAGCTCTTCACATCAATACTAACAATACCAGCGTTTATTATAAAACTTTTACTTATTCATCCCCAAATGACTGACAAACTCATATGCATAAAAATTTACATCTAGGCCAGAGGAGAGCAGCAGACAGCTCTCACACACAGGCCAGGAGTCTGGGAGCAGGAAAAGTCTTCGTGATGGACACCAAGACAAGATGCAACTCATTAAGAAAGTGGCAACAAATTCTTTAATCTGTTCTAAATTATCTGAATTCCATTCAGTTGTCAGGGTACCTCATAAACAGCCCCCATACACACCAACCACAGCAATATTTAAGGATATCCACCTCTCACACAGTGGAAAATGGGGCCAACCCTAATGGTCTTGAAATTATGGTTCAAAATTCACACCCATTCTGAAGGGCACCTCATAGGGACCAAGAAGTAGATCCAAACTCTGAGTTTCATTTGGATTTTCAATGATACACAAATACAGGATATTTACTGATAAAAAACGCCTTCTGTGTTACAGATAGAGCTGGTTGCACAGCCTGTTACATTTGCAATGCTCCATCACTCATCCTCTTAGGAAGCGCTAAAAGCAAACCTAGCAGAACCTCACACTGTGGTGGCAGAGGTATGACAGGGTGTTAGGATATACAATCCTGCTCACAAAGTTACAAACCCAAGACAATCCGAACAAAAAGGGAAATACACATTCAGTTCCAGTAGAGGCACGTGAATTAATAAAATAACGTGGAGACAGCTATTACAGAGTATTTTTTAAGACTTAAAAAACATACACTGCTTGATCTTCAACTCAGTCATCACAGTCAAATACTGAAGAAAAGAGAACATCCAGGACAGGATCTCAAAAATTAACAATGAGGCAAACAGCTAGAGGCGGAGATAGATTTTCTTATAACGAGTAAAACACACAAATGAAAAGGTGATTTGAAGTCGGTTGTTCCTTTGCTACAATGGTTAATTTCTTTGCAGTGACATTACATTACCATCATATTATTTAGCGCTCTAACTGCAATGATGTGGTACCTCAGTAGATGATGTATTTAAATCCTTCCCTGAGCCAGGGCTTATAACATGTTATCAATATGTTTGTTATTTTGAATTTTCATCTTAACAGACATTTTATAGTCAATATTATCCTGGAAAAAAAAGCCCTCTGAAGACCTGAAGATTTTTGAAGGCAAAAGGAGCCCAAAGACACAAAAAGATGCCTAAACTGGTTTTTAAAAATATCTAGTGCCTATATGCTACCACACCAAAATCTTGAACCTTGTTGGAAAAAATCTAGTTACAAGGCAGACAGAACAACAGCCATAAGCAGGAATGCCTCTGTTCTGTCACTTTAGTCCAAGATACAACATTGTGGCAAAACTGATTTTGTGTACTTTGTGTATGAATCACTTAATTCAGTATTAGCACTCAGATTTAGTGTTATGTGCCACAGGAGCTCATTTGGGTTGGTACAATACTGAATAGTTGCATTTTTCTAACACAGAACATTGGTTAGACAACAAAATGTTGTGTCTACAAGCAGTAGAGAGAATAGCTTTTATTCTGGGAAACAAGTTTAAATTTGCAACGCAGGCCTGGCAAATTTATTACATTCAGACTTACAAGATGCATCTACCAAAAATCCCATACATCTACCTATATCAGAGATTTGCAGCTTATTTATGGCTTCCTTTCCTCAATCAGTGAAAAAAATTACACCATGCCCTACAATTATAAACACAGTAAATCTGTTATCTTTTTAAAAAGACTGACTCAGGGACTGAACTGAACACTTATCATCTGAACTTCTAGCCACAAGCTAAGCAAACAATCTTACCCTATTCGATTTTTACTGAACAGGCTTTTCTGGCTTTGCCTTAACTACAAAATTGCTTCATGTTCATAGCTCACAGCACCTGACAACAACACACACAGAAAAAGGCTCAGTCTTGTGTGAGACAACTAGAGTCAGCAAATACGACAAGATTTATATAACCTAAGTGAATTAATCTCAGCAGATCTTTCCAAAATCTCTCCGTAAGATGGATAGAGAATTTATCAGACTCTAAGCCACTGGTGAGCTAAGAATGACCCTTGGGTGGCCCCTAGAGCATCCTCCAGAATCCTTCAACACAGTCAAGGATGGAAAAAGCAAACAAATCTGTGGAGGCTAAGAATTACTGAAGCTAAGTCAGCACTGTAGTTTACAATTTGGGAGGTAACTTTTGACAGATAAAATATTGGGCAACCTCTTCAACAGCAACACACTGGTGACTTTAGACAACCCTTAACATTTTTTTGCCTGAAAATAAAACTACATTCAGCTTAGCCAAAGTAAAATTTACCAACAACTATATAATTTTCCAACAACTAGATATTATAAGGATTAACTGTGCATTCAACAGTGCAGTGAATCTAACAGGATGTAAATAAGTAGCACTGGTTTCTGTATTTCAGAAAGAAGAGTCCATTCTGGTTCAGAACCTTTCTAAAGAAGATGCCAAATACCAAGAGATTAACTACAGGCAGAAGTGCCTAACAAGCTATTTATTACTGTTTTGCTTAAGATTGACACTGTGAAAGGCCACAGTGCACTTGGCACTCAGCACTTGGCAAAGCACATTGAAATTTTCAGCTGTGCACCTACATTCAGTGTTTTATGATCCCTAAAGGAAAAAGACAATTCAGTCATGTCCCAAATCCTCTGAGTATTTTACTCCATTATCCTAAAGACAGTCATCTTCCAGAGGTTAGAACAAAGACAAGGCAATCTGGTGACAGACTTTTGATAATCCTGCAATAACCATTCATAGAAATGTAAAACAACGAGATGTACACATTTTGCCATGCATATGCATGGCATCACTGATTTTGAGCAAAGACACCCATTCCTTTTATCTCTTGTTGCGTTTGGTTTTATATTGTCAACTCCTTGGATCAGAACAGAGCCTGCATAGCAACTAGCATGATGAAACCTCAGACACAAAAGACCTACAATGTTATTGCAATAATCTGAGGGTCAGAGAACGTGCAAGAAGAAAACGCAATTATCAATGCAAGACGGAACATTTTATCAGTCAAACAAAAAATTCTTAGGGGTTTACTTTACATTAACAAAGATTATTCCTTAGTATTACATTATGCAATACCAGGCAACGTGTTGAAAAGACTCTACCATATTTTTCACAAACATCTGTAATGACAGAAATGAAATGAAGTCATGTGCTATCCTCACTTTATGCTTTCCTTCTCCTTTATCCTAATTCCAGCTCCTCTAAGGTTATGAACCTCTAAAAATACATCCATTTTTGTTCATGTGGGCAAGCACCACCTTTCAGACATAGTAAGTACAGATCTTCACTCCCAGATTCTCTGGTGGACGTGAGCAACAAGTTCTATTCCTCAGTCCTGCAATAGTCCCTCAGTCCACAATTATTGGTGTATCATACCCAACTTTTTGTTTGTTTCCTTTTTATTTTATGAAGCACAAAAATCTAAAAGGAGTTAATAATTATTTCAGAAAGGTTACAACTAGAGACAATTTCCTGCTTGAATCATTAGTACCTTTCACAGTGAGTTCTGAAAACTTAGGTTTTGACTAGCTGCAAAACAAGTTCAGCCTTGGTGTACAGCAAAAGAGTTTATTTACTCCATTTTTTAAATGAAAGACTGCAGCCCAAGCACATGGCTTGAAACTCTTCAGAAAAAAAGGTGGAGAAAAATTTTCAAATAAGATCCAAATAATCATGATCCTTTTTTCATTTCTTAAAAGTTGTTTGTTTGGGTTTTTTAATAGTTGTTTCTCGTTTATTTCAATCGATGAGACAAAATAATCTTTCTTCATTTAAGTTTTCTTTTTTACCCCCTGAGGGACAACAGTTTTCTAAGCCACAGAATAGTTGTAGACACACTCTGGGTCACGTTTTCAAAACTGAAATTAACACAACTTGAATTAATAAAAATTTCAGTACTTTTTGCCACAAAAGAGCAGTTAAAAGTTACAAAAATGTTCAGTATGTAATACACAGCATGCAGAACATTCCTCATTAAGCAGTTAAAGCTCTCAGTAGGCTGCTGATTCCCTGTGCTCACAGTTTGAAGGCAGTGTGTACCCTATTTTGTTCTTGTGTGTCAGCATCGTGTTTCAGACATTGGTAGAGATTCCGTCTCCCAGTTTGTCTAGTTGTTGGGATCACCAGTCAAGCTCTGTTGCTAAATTCTACTAATGTTCACAGTAAGTGGATTAATCATCTACAACTTGATTTTAATGAAGTACATAAATCTAAAGTGAATGTGAGATGCCTGCAGATAATTTGTTGGAAGCAGAAAACTTTATGGTTCCTACTTCAAATTCAGTGTCTCATGGAGAACTGAGCAGGTCAGAGTTTAAAGCAATTTCAAAATTGACAACCAATTCTAGAACAGAAAACTGAGCAGTGTGTGGATTAGCAGGATTTCTAGGAGTCCAAAGTTCATGTTTTACCTTGCACATAGCTCCCTAAATGTCTTTAAAAAACTAATGTCACTAAAAATTGTGGCTGCAAATGACCTGACAACAGTGTCATAGGCCATGCCTGGATTTAGCAGTAAGAAAAGCCACCTGGTTAGTGGATACTGTGGCTCACATCTAACCCACATGCCCAAGTTTCCTTTCCAAGCAAACCCAGACATGGGACTAGTTGCACAACTTGCCTTTGTCAGGGCATGGAGCCAGGGCCTTACTGCAGTCATGCTAAGGCTTAACAGCTTTAGATACAGCCCAGGCAAAACAGCAGAGCTAGAAATTGATCCTCACACTCAGGTGTATTATAGATATTCCTAAAATCAGACTCATACAACTCCATATTTAAAATATGCTTCATCCGTCCATCTCACACCCTTAAGACAGGCTATTTCCACACATTATTTAGTATTCCAATGCTCATCACAGTCAGTGAAGAGGTTAATGCACAGCAAAGTGTTAGTTACA